TAATGCTGTTGAATGCCATCCTTTAACAGCTGTTTGATTTCTGTGTTAACAAAATCCGCTGCTAGGATAAGGGTATAGCTTCGAGTATACGGGTTCGTTAGTTTCCGTACGAATTGTGGCAATGATCGAGGTTTTAAATGGAAGCGCCTCGTTAGAGTGCAAAAACACTTGTTTCCTCTTAAGGATCATTTTTTTAAACTCAGCTTTTACTGAACTTTGGACTTCCACGTCATCGATATTTGTGAAGTTCACAGTATCGCATTCGTGGTATTTTAACTTTTTAGATACATTTCCATACCTTGCGCTGTTGGGTAGATCTAATGCCGCTCCGGCCTGCGTTAGAAAGTCGAAACCTATTATGGCATCAAATGTACTAATAGTGTCAAGTAAAAAGAAAGTGGCCGTTAGGCATTAAGCATTTTCTGTTTACTCTACTGGAGCCATGAATGGAACTCACAGTGAATGGGGAGTCGACAAGAGTTATGTTTTTCAGCAGGGGCTTTACATAATTTTTTGCCACTCCGGTATCTATGAGAATTTTTAAAACTCTCCCCGCCAGCCTTCGTTCAATGAAGGGCAAGCAGGACCTTCTTTTAAAAAATTAATTATGTCATTAATAATGTCATGTAGCCGCGAACATACTTCGTTCGATACTGGCCTCTGCCTCTCTTGCTAATGCCAGAGCTGCTGGCAGGTCTTTGGGCTGTGCTGGAAACACAACAGCCCTTAGGGATTTTTTTAGACCTGAAATAAATACATGTAGGGCATCAGCCCTGCATTAGGGTTTGCTCGCCCTGACGGACAGACTCAAGACCCTAATAGGCGCAAGGATGTTTTGTCTGCATAGGAGCAGTCTAGTCTAGCCAAAATGGCATGAAAAGTAAGCACTGTGTTATGTGAAACTAGCAGCGCGCGCGCTGGGTCTTTAATTTTGTTTCTAATAATTGTAACGGCTTGGTAATGTCTGGATAATCCCTGAATAATTCAAAAGCATCCGTGGCCGATTGCCTCCATGCCACGTATTCATCCTGTATACCAGTTAATTCTGGAATTGACTTCACAATGTGTAAAGGTGTATCACACGGTGTTGCTCCCGGTTTTACAGCTACCCTCTGGTAGGTTTCTACCTCTGGCGCTTCTACACGCAAATTTATTAACTTTTGATTAACAGCATTGATTTTCCCCGCAAATCTGCCTCTGTTCTTGATTAAACAAAGCCGCCTGAATTAACATTTCAATTTGGGCAGCGTTCATGGTGTATGTGTTATTTTCTGTCAGTGCTACTGGATTTCTGATGGTCTCTCGGACGAACTCCTCTTCTCTATCACTTTCCAATTTGCGATTAGTTTCCCTATATGGGCCTGGGAAACTCATAAGGCCATTAACTGGTTAACACTAAACACAAGTATAGAGAGGCCGAATATTTTAATTCGACAGAAATTAATTTGACTGTGGTATATTAATATTAATAACCGAGTGCTTGGCGTCTGAAATATTTATTTAGCGACGGCTGGTATTATTTTGCTTTATTTGCGAGTCACATTTACAATAGCACTTTATTTAAATTTTATATGTTAAGATTTTTGGTGAATAATTTGTAGGGATTTTTGTTATTTTTCCCTGTTTAATTGAAGCTTTATTAACTTTGATCAGCCCACTTACATTCTTGGGGGTCGTGAAATCTTCTTTAGTTGGGTGCCAATTATGATCATCATGTATCCTTTATAAGCAGAACACTTAATGAACACGAATTAAATTACAGCTCTATCGAAAAAGAATTACTCGCCATAGTTTGGGCAACAAAAACCTTTCGACATTATTTACAAGGACGACAGTTTATCATTGCTAGTGACCATCAACCTCTTAGATGGCTGCATACCTTAAAGGAACCGAATGCTAAGTTACAAAGATGGAGACCTAAATTAAACGAATACCAATTTAAAATTGATTATATTAAAGGGAAGGAAAATTCAGTTGCCGATGCATTATCAAGAATTAAAATTGAAGAAAATCATCATAGTGAAGTTACTCAACATAGTGCAGAAGAAGACAATAGCAACCTTATCCATTTAACAGATAAACCAATAAACAATTTCAAAAAACAAATCATGCAATTTGGCTAAAACAGAACATAGAAACACCAAAATGTCTTTTAAAATCACAACTAATCCCGAACATTGCCGAGACAAATTTGTGGTAGATATTTATTGATCTGAGGGAAAACATTGCATTGATATTTATTCTAAGTTCGCTACACTTGAGCAAATTAAAACAAAGGACTGGATAGAATGCAGGAACGCATTAATGCGCATTTTTAATCAGCTAGGTAAACCCAAATTACTAAAGGTAATTTGCTACAAATTACTACACAGAGACGGAGCTTTCCCCAGCTTGATCTTAAAGCGATGGCTTGAGGCAGAAGGAATCGAATTGGAACTCAACACGGCAAAAAATGGTGTAGCAGACGTCGAAAGACTACATAAAACAATAATTGAAAAAATCCGTTTAATCAATTCATCTGATGACGATGAAGTAAAATTAAGCAAGGTAGAAACAATCCTTTACACATACAACCATAAAATTAAACATTAAACACGACTGGACGAACACACCTGCTCAAATTTTCTTATACGCTGGGCATCCAATATTAGACAAAAGAAAATAGATAAAATAAATGAAGATCGACCAAAATTTATTATTGACACTAAATACAGAAAAGGTCCAATTCAGAGAGAAAAATTAGAAAACCCATTTAAACCAAAAAAAAAAAAATGTATGAAGACCAATGTATGGATGAAGACCATTACAAAATCACTAATGGAAATAGGGATCCAAATACTACAAAACACAATATAAGAAACAAAAGATAACTAATACCATTAAACTTCCACAGGAACCTTGTGTATAATGTTGTTTCTATTATTCACCACGGGACACAGTCAAAAAATTCAAATAACCAACCCAGATTCCGACCTTGGCAACTTACTCTTCTCAAGCAATCCAATGCAAATACTAGTAGTATTGAACATCACTGTCTAAGAATTAATCTAACGGAAATCAATGTCATCACTGATTCTCTTGGTAACAAAATCTCAGACTCACCTAGAATGAAATTTTTGTATAATAAACTACTGAAATAATTAAATGGTTTAACTATTCATCAGCAAAACAGGCAGAAACGTGGACTATTTGACATAATAGGTTAATCTTTTAAATTTCTTTTTGGCACACTTGATGAAAATAATAGGGTGCAAATAAACAAAAAAAATAGATCTAATTGCAAAAAATTCAATTCAACTTCATAAACTAAGTGATGTCATAAATTTAATGAATGAAGGACTGCAGAAGCTTACTAACTATGAAAATAACCGTAATAGTATTGACACACTCGTTTATGAACTTATGCAGTTTACTGAATACATAGAAATGGGCATGCAAATTTCACTTCTTGGACTTCTTATCCAAAATTACTCAATTACGACAAGTTTAAAAGCATTAACAGCCAGAATATACTTTTCATCAAAACATCAACTTGGATTGACCACACAAATAACGAAATATTACTCATTTCACATATCTCTAATCCCTATTAACCAAAAAACCATTAACACCATTAAGATAATTCCCTATCCTGACCATAATGGGTATCAATCAGACTATTCAGATCAACAAACATATTTTGAAGATGAGAATAAAATTTATAATCAAGACAAAAAAGAAGTTAACATCGAATGCATTAAAAATATAATCGTACGAATCCAATTTGTAATTTTATACCAATTCTCTCAAGGGAAATTTTCCAATACGTTGAACCAAATAATATATTATATAATACTTACATGGATGTTAACTGAGACTACAATCACACAAAATTGTCAAGAATTATATGGGCATATACAAATAAATGGAGGCAAAATTATAAGAATGAAACAATGTAATGTTAAGATTGGAAATGTTATGTTTAAGTGCAATTTCCGAAAAGTCCAGCATTTGATTAAACTCTATTGTATTTACCGATTAATGTCACTAAGATAAAAAATGGTAGAACATAATGACGTTTTAAAACTAATTTCAGAAAATAATTCATTTTATATAACAATAATTTATATAACAATATTAATTGTAATTATTGTTATTAGAATTTTTCTTGTCCTATCAGAAATTTCTACACTAAATCCAGTAATTTAATCCAGTATTTATAACTTAGAAAACAAGAAAAAAATGGTTGATGAAACTCAGGATCAGCTGATCCATGGGATTTAAATGGACCTGCGAATTAGAGATTGCTGATGTCATAGCACGCCAGATCGGAAACGGAGCTCTAGGCCATGATGTAATTTGCAATACCTCTTTAAACTCTATTGTAAGATTGCAAAAGTTCCCTTCTCAGAGAAAGCTAGGGGGCATTACGGCACCTCAGATATAGTTAAAATATAAATATTATAATATAATGATAATAATAATTATATTTACATTTTTCGTTCTTGATTAAAAAGTTAGAGGGTAAAATAATTTATCCAATTTCCGGCTACTTTTCGTGGTAATCTGTCATTCTCTTACTTTAATTTGTGTGGTTGTGGACTCCGTAACTTTCAACGTAGGTTCAGCGCATTTAGGTTCCGCCGGAAATGTTATGTCCTAAATACAACTGTAACCCTCTAGAGGTTGGCTCTTAAAGAACGAAAAAACACCAAGCCGATGAGAATTTTTCTTCAAACATTTTTTTGACTGCCTAACACTAAAGGCGAAATGGCTGAGAAGCGCATTGAAATATTACATCGGGTCGGGTTCCAAAAACCTTGCAATCCACCAGTAGGAAAATACACAAACAAATTTTTTTTATCCCACCATAAACATGAAAAACTTATTATGCATACTTTTGGACCGGAATTCATTTTAGCTAGGCGACAAGCCTATATAAATTTACAGATAAATTTAACATCTCATGCGGTGTTGTTCTTAAAATGTAAGTTTATTTTATGGAGAATTATCTTACTTACCCGATAATGACCCAAGTTGTCAACAACACAAGTAAATGATATGTCACGTCCTATGGGAACCGTTGTGTTACTTAGCTTTGACAAAAACTCTGGCCCAATTTCATCTGACTCGCCGTTTCCTTAAAGTGTAAATAATAAAAAAGTATAAATTAATAAATAGACTTAATGGACTTATATGTTTGGGGTTCAATACAAAAAACTAAATATGTCACTGCTGGAAACATAGATGATCTTTGTTGCACCGAAAATCAGTACACCCAAACCGAACAAGGTGTGTGCGGTTCAATTTAAAATAAAATATACACGTTTTTTATCCGTTTATAATAGGTTGGAAAATATCTCCCTTCCGCTTTTTCGCTCTTTATTCAATGCCTTATAAAAAGTGTTACAGTGATCGGATTTAGTTCAAATATGCGCCGTTTTGTTCGATAATCTGTTTCCATCTAGATGGCAACTTCATAATACCTCCCTCGTAGAAGCCCCCCTCCTTATTTGCGAAGAACTCGGACAGCCACTTTTCACAAGCCTCTTTTGAGTTCAACTTTACACCACCAAGGGCATTCGCCATGGACAGGAACAGGTGGTAATCACTTGGCGCTATGTCCGGGCTATATGGTGGATGCGATAAAACCTCCCATCCGAGCTCCCTTAGCTTCTGACGAGTCATCAACGAAGTGTGTGGTCCGGCGTTGTCCTGGTGGAACACTACACCCTTCCTGTTGGCCAATTCTGGACGCTTCTGGTCGATCGCCTGCTTCAAGCGGTCCAGTTGTTCGCAGTAGATGGTAGAATTAAGCGTCTGGCCATATGGGAGCAGCTCATAGTGGATGATTCCCTTCCAATCCAACCAAACACACTGCAAAACCTTCCTGGCCGTCAATCCCGGCTTGGCCACTGTTTGGGACGATTCACCGGCCTTCGACCACGACCGTTTTCGCTTGATATTGTCGTATGTGATCCATTTTTCGTCGCCAGTCACCATCCGCTTCAAGAATGGGTCGAGTTCGTTCCGTTTCAGCAGCATATCGCAGGCGTTGATTCGGTCCAGAAGGTTTTTTTGCGTCAAATCATGCGGCACCCAAACATTCTTCCGCCGGCTGGCTTATCCATGTCGTTTTCGTTTTCACCGGCTCTGAATCGTCGAAACCTCCGCGGTTCGAAGTGATAGAGTACCATCCCCCAAAACACCATTAATATCACGGAACGTTTCTCTGGCGGATTTGCCTTTAACGAAGGAAAACTTTAAAATAGCGCGAATTTCGGCGTTAGTGAACTCCATGTTTACACGTCTATAACTGTTGAACGCAATATCCAAACTAATAGCGTCGAAAACTAATAGCATGCATAGCGTCGTTTTGTAGGTTATGTCAAGACCTTTCAAATTATGTATAGTATTGCCAGATACGAGCTCTGTACCGCTTTGTACATAGCCGCGAAATTCAAAAGACAAAAAGGCGGAAGGGAGATATTTGCCAAACTAATATAATAACAACAGACTAACTATATCATAGGCAGCAATTGTTCTTGATCCTGATTGACAACATAGCGTGTTTGAAGGAGATGTTATGCAAACTAACCGGCAAGGTGTTTCGTCCTTATGGTTCAACAATAATTCTTTTCAGAGCATCTCTCTTGGGGTATAACTTTTAAAAACTTGTTCTTTTGAATTTTTAGATCAATCCAGTCTCTGGTTTAAAGACTTCTTTATTGATGGGCATCCTGTGCACTCACCTATTGCGCTTGCAAAAACTGCTATCGATCGTATAACGCATACTAATTGACTGACCGGTTACGTGTGCCTTACCGATATTTGTATGAATGTATAATTATAAAGAATCTTCATGGTGAAAAGGCAACATGCCATTGTTGTTTAAAAATGAAATACAATTCCTGAAACATAACGGAAGATTTGTACTTGGTGAATTTGAAACTGACGAAAATATTTATTAATAAATTGTGAGATGCCATTGTGTATTGCCAGTGTCTTTCGCTTAGCGATTTATCCCGGCAATCCCGCCTCTATTGCATTGCTGCTGTGGGGGGGGGGGGGGGGGGGGGGGGGATACCCTTTGCTCTTAGAGAACCGTTCACAGACGATGGGGTCTAAAGGCGTACTGCGTCATAGCTGTAAAGTCCTTTGTCTTGCTCCGTACGCATCCCAGTTCCTTTATCAAGGTGCCTAAAAAAAACTTACTGTCCGCTCTTGAATGAAACCTTAAGACTTTTGCGTAGCTTGTTGAGGTTTTTTTGTGATCATCGCCGTCGCTGTGATTCAAACATTCAGTGTTCAAATTGTTGCCGCTCCCAGATTCATGGTAGCCAGCGGCTCTGTTTTAAGGTGTTAAGGTGTTTTTATAACGGACAACAAGGTTCTCAAATGGTTTATATCGACGACTAGTAGTTTGCGCATATGCGACTGTGGAAAGGACTCGAACAATTTCTCTGTCTCATCTACCATACTGATATATTCTGAAAGGTTGCTCGAATGCCTCAAGTAATCACGTCGTTCAAACACCAGCACATCTCCATCTATGACGGGAATGCGTGAGAAAAGTCGGTAATCCGAGCATTTGTCACCGCTTGGGTGATGAGCGTTGTGAGGATGAACCTGCAATTCAAACATAGAGTGAGACCACGGTGTATTAACTTAAATCTGGCTTACTATTAAAAAATATGCCTTACAGCTAATTGGAAGTGGGGGAATCTATTTAAGGTTGTCCTTATGGACGACCCTCCCCTTAATAAGAACAGACGTTCCCAGGTCTGCCTGCACTGTTTATTCTGTGCACAATGGTGCTAATAGTCGGGGTTCACGACCTCCTCTAGCATTTCCAAAATGGTGCTTTTGTCGGCGAAATTGATTAAGTGGCGAGTTTTACTATGAAACAATACCAAGCTTCGCTTTAGTCGGAAACGTGATTCTTCTATAACAATTTGATTTCTGAAGCAGTTTACTGGTTGGTCTGTCGCTTCGACCGTGTAGGTCAGTGACAGTTCGCTGTGAACAGTCGCAGCGTCTGACGGAGGCTCACTTTGTAAGGCATTAACGTTCTGCCTGGAAAGAGCGTCAGCCACATGGTTGTCTTCACCCGGTTTGTATTTGATTTTTGCGCTATGATCATCAATATTTGCTTTCCACCTTTTAATTTTCGGATTTTGATTCCGATCGGACACCGCGAATGTAAACGGTTGATGGTCCGAATAAATTTTAATATCGCGAGTGCCGTATAGGTAGTGTTGTAACTTGCCTAAAGCCCACACTATGGCCAACAATTCTCTTTCATTCGTGGCGTAGTGTGACTCACTCTCTTTGAGGGTCCTAGAGATCATAGTGATGGGTCTTTTATCTTGTGATAGAACCGCCCCGATACCGTTCGCGGAAGCATCCGTCGTTAAATCGAATGGCTTCCTGACATCAGGGTATCTGAGAATTACATCCTCAGAAGCCAAGACATTTCTCAGCCTCTCGAATGCATCTCTCTGCAAATCACCGAACTCGCTAGGAGTCTTCTTGGACATGTGCTTGCTGACAGAGCTATTTCTTTATGGCCTTTACCTTTTCTGGGTCGGTTTTTGCACCTCCATTGGTGACAATAAATCCCAGATATTCAACGCTTTGCTTATAAAAGTGTGTCTTCTCGTTGGATACCTTCATGTTGGCATCACATAGGCTTTTTAAAACCCAATCTATGTGCCTAACATGGTCGTTTCATTTTCAGAAAAAATAATGACGTCATCTACGTAAACATAGCACGATTTGCCAATCTGCTCCCGAAAGACGTCGTCGATCGCTCTTTTATGCTTCCCGCATTCTTCAACCCGAACGGCAATCGACAAAATTCATACTTTCCGCCGTTCACCGAAAAGGAGGTCTTTTCACGGTCGTGTTCGGCCAAGGATATCTGGTGGTAGACGGACTTCAAATCTAACGTTGTGAAGTATTTGGCTTTTCCTAAGTTTGCCAGTATCATGGGGATGTTTGGCATTGGGTACTTATCAGCGATGGTTTTTTCGTTAAGTTTCCTAAAGTCTATAACCAAACGCTTATTTTTGTTCCCCAGTTCATCATAGCCTTTTTTGTCTACGGTCCATGTTGGATTGTTGTACAGTGACCTTGAGGTTCTGCGATTTCTCGGGTATAATTTGGAATATACCGGCTTATCATCGCTAGTGCGAATTATGGCAACAACGGAAGTGTTAAACGGCAGTGCCTCGTTAGAGGCTGAAAATGCCTTAGATCTGTTTGTTTCTAAACTCGGTTTTTACAGATTCCGTCGTCACACTTATGATGCTGCAGCTCTTCAACCACAGAACCATAGTTGATTGTGCCTTTCTCTGTGTCTAGCTTTTCTCCAACTTGAGCTAGGAAATCAAAACCAATAATGCCATCAAAAAGCGTTAAGGTGTCCAAAAGGAAAAAATCCGCTGTTTTCCCGAAAACGTTCATTAAACATTTCTGTTCAACTCTGTTAGCACCGTGGATGGAACTAACCGTGAAAGGGGATTTGACCGGCACTACATTCTTTAGCTCCTTTACGGGCTTGATGTAGTTTTTCGCCGCCCCTGTATCTATTAAGATATTTAATTTTCTCCCATGTAACTGGCGTTCAAAGAACGCTCCCTTCCCTACAAAATTTATTTGGTCACAACCGTCGGATTCTTCGTCTACTTCGGCGACAGCCGCTGCTGCCGTTCTATCATATACACTGCCACTTTCGTCGTCGACGCGTTGCATGGTATTCTGCAACCATAGATCCATGTCTTTTCTGGCCTCGAATATTCTCGCCCCTAGCATTAGCAGACTGACCGCTTCCAAGGGCGGGGGCTTGCCTGTGTTGTGTTACAGTGGAGCCTAACTCCATGGGTTCTGGTGACTGGTTAGGGCCATCGTTTGTGTTATTTTGCGGGAACTTATTTTGCTTTTTATAGTAATGGGGGTTTCTTCCTTGTCCATCCTCGGCCCTGCTACTTTTTCCTTGACCTTCCTGCGAACGGTTTTCGTTCTTTCGCTGCCCAAAGGTGAATGACTTTTCTTCCATCGCCCTTGCATACGTGGCCGCGAAGGCGATGTGCTCCATGCTCCCTAGCCAAAGCCAAGGCTGAGGTTAAATCTTTGGGCGCTATCCGGTTCATGTGTCATACCGATTTTGTACGTCACTAGTGTTAGTCGCTTTTCTACCTCGTCATAGTATTGCATCAAGGTAAGCTCGCCTTGCCTAACTGTTTCAAGACCCTGCCTAAGGACACGCAGCGACGTTTTGTCCGCGTATGTGCAGTCTAGTCGAGCAATGATGGCATCGAAATTTAGTACTGTGTTATGGGACACCAGTAGCGCTCTCGCTACCCCCCTGATTTTATTCCTGATAATTGTGACAGCCTGGTAGTGCGCCTCGCTCTCATTATACGACCTGAAAATTTCAAAGACGTCCATGGCTGATGCCGCCACGCCACATAATCTTCTTGGTCCCCCTCAAACTCGGGAATGGACATTACTATGTCGAGTTTTAAGTCACATTTAACGTGTGGCTTAAATTCAATTCTCTCATAGCTTCTACCTGCGGTGCTTCCACACGTCAGTTCTGCATTTGTTGCCTAACCTGATCTAGTTGGGTCTGAAATTATTCCATCAGCCTAGTTTCCTGCTGAGCTAGGGCCTGGTTAACGGCTCCTTCTATGATTGCCTGCAACTGAGCAGCGTCCATATCTGTATTATTGTTAGTCGTCGAGCGAAAACCTTGTTTTTCAAAATCCCACCCGTCGTCACTATCCTATTCTACCTTCACTTTTCTGTATTCGCCCGCCCAACTCATTTACAGATGGTTGGCACTTCGCACATATATTTTCTTCGAGCACAGTTTCGGTTTTCTCGAGGCGGCATTATTTACGTGTGCGAGAAATAGAAATCGACGAAAAACTTTTTCAAAAGAAAACGCTTGCGCAAAGGAATAATTTTATTTACTATTTACTATTTATTATTTATTCCTTTGGGCAGCAATAGCTCACAGTAATGCTGTATGCTGTATGCTGTATGCGGTATGCTGTAGAATTTGCTCTTGGTAAAAGTTTGCAATGCCAATTCTTGAAGGCTGCCGAATTGAATTCACTAATAAAACTTACATGGTTTCTCTTCTTAACTACGCTGTTAAGATACTCTAGGTTCGTAATTATAGTTGGGTGCCAATTAATTTATAAGTAGTGGATCAGGGGACGCTCCCCCGCTGCAGTCACTGTACTTTGGCCGGTTGGTCGATGAGCGTAGTCCACAGGTAGCGGGCGGTCGTTCCTCGCTCTAGTTGGAGATCGCTAAGAGCGTCTAGCCGGCTGGCTGTAGTTCCTATGTTAGAATAGGAAGATTATGTTGGAAGGGGAACTACCCTTCTTAACTGCTGGCCTAGAGACACAGTCAGCTTTCAAAATGATAGAAGATATTTAACGGCTGTTGCCGGAGTAATTAGCTCTTTATTATTAGAGGTCTCGCTTAGAACTTAATACAAAGAATATGGAAAATATGAATTTACCCTAACTCAAATGCATCACGCCATAAGCTCATGGTCGGCAAGCCGACTCAGCATTTATGCAGCGCAGTTCGGTACCCCGGCTACTGGGTGTCCGATTGCCGAAGCTACTTAGTTGCTAGGGCATTATAAACGTGAACTATGTAGCTGCTTTTATATTGGTCGCTCTATCAGTTGTTAACTTATATGTATATATTATATATTTACCATGTATTTGAGGCACGGCGTGGCATTCAATAATGATTATCACCTTGGTCAGAATTAAAACTATGCCACAAGCTACAACTCTTTCGCACATTTTTATCCAAGCAGTCTTTTTTTTCAACATATGAATATCAATGGCTTCAAAAATATTCAGGTACAATATAGACTTATAACTGCAGAATAAGTCATAGAAATTAGATGTGATCCCAAGATTTCATTTTTGTCTGTGGCATCCTAAAATAAAGCCTAAAATCGAAATTCATAATTAGTAGGTGAGCCAGGAAATTTTTTTTGGTAACTGCATTAATAATCTTTCTTATAATATAATAAGTTATTAAACAAGATAGAATGCTATAGTCGAATTCCCCGACTAATCAGCTAGTGAAAGTGCGAACGAGAAATTTCTTAATTTGCTGGAATAGAAATTGCGTAAAAAATAAAAAATGAAAAAGAAAAGGTTTTCAAACGTTTCGGCGTAACGTCTATGTCTCTGGAACTTGCATGCTTAATCTTAACGTTCTAGCTTTTATAGTTCCTGATATCGAGGCGTTCATACGAACGGGCAGACGGACAGACGGACGGACATGGCCGTATCGACTCGGTATATATCCTGATCAAAAATATATGTATAGACTTTATATGGTTGGAAACGCTTTCTTCTGTCTATTAAATACTTTTAAACGAATTTTGAATACCCTTTTACTCTACGAGTAACAGGTGTAAATATCAAAATATTTTTTTAAAGTGTAGGCGTGGCAGCTTTGGTCGGTTTGTGGGCGGTAGAGTGCGCGTGGCAACATCATTTAACAAACTTGCACTGCATCTATGTCTCTGGAGCCTGCATGCTAATTCTCAACTTTCTAGCTTCTATAGTTCCTGAGATCTTGACATTCATACGGAGGGACAGAGAGACGGAGAAGAATTAATATGAAGATGAAGTTGAGATGTGTCCGACAACCTAGGTCTTACGACGGCGCCCGAGTTAAGTCGTGTCCTCGTCTTAGTTGTGTTATTGAGTTAAAATAAATCCAACCTTCTGCTTTGGGTCCTCAAGAATAAGTGCATGTATATTTCTTTTCGGTTCTACGTGTAGGCTACAATTTGAGTGACGCTTGCTGCGAAACCCTTTACGCTACTCCATGGTCTGTCGATGTTTTCTGGCTGTTTTCATTGAATCCTGAGTTTCTACTTCTGCCTCCGGATTGAATGTTCTAATGGCGTGCCACTGTCCGGAGGGGTTTCGGTGGAGGTGAAGATCCAGCTAATTCGTCACCTATAACTCCTCCCCTCTCAAGGCGGAAAGACGGCCATAAAGTATAGTGATTTGCCGCTTTACTCAGCATGGTACTAAGAACCCACTAAAATTTGAGTTTATTGAGAGGATATTACAGGAAAGGACTTTTCCCGTATAACTAAACGATAGACGATGCATTTCTGAAAGCTTTCGAATTTTCAAAAGCTCTACTCTCAAACGATCCTATACATCAGTACCCAGACCTCTCTAAAAATTTCATATGGACAACGGACACAAGCAATTTTGACCTCGGAGTCGTCTTGTCTCAGGGCACACTAAAAAACAATAAGGCACTCTGCTTCGCCAGCAGAACTTTTAATGACACCGAGATAAACTACTCGATATTTCATATATTTGCTCGTAAGGAAGTTTACTATCGTGACGGATCACAAAGCACTAATTAGGCTAATGAATTTTAAAGAGCATAAATCTAAGATCATCCGATGGATGAGTACGAGTTCAAGATAGTTCACAAAAAAGGCTCCCAGAATGTCATAGCCGGCGCATTAAGGAGGACAGACGCCAACATGAACTACATCGAATCGGTTCCCGAACCTGCTCCTAGCCTCCCCAAATCCGACAAACCCCTCAACGATTTTAACGTTTAACTTACCCTAAAAGTTTGCCTAGATAACAAACACCTAACCGTTACACCCTTTTACACCCTTTATTTGACTTTAACGTTTGTGGGAACATACAGAAAAAACGATGAAACCAAATAAGCCATGCGCCATTCTTGCCGACGAAAACATTCCCAAAGTACTGGAACAAGTGTACGCCATATACTTATCTGATAATCCAACATTCAAATTAATTAGCTGTTCTTCTTTTCTTACGGTAATAACGAATACTTAAGAACAAATTAAAATTTTTCAGATTAGCACACCAACAACAATCACAGAGGCATCGACGAGATCTTCCTTCAATTAAAACGTAAATACTTTTTCCCCACATGAAGTACTAGTTAATCAATCAATGTGAAACTTGTTTAAGATTGTAGTGTACGTAGTTCGACAGATTTTTAACTAGTTGGTCTTTTAATAGTGGGTGGTAATTACTAATAAAGAGGACCTTGTACTTCCTTCTTGCTCTCCGTAGGTCGGGGTTCTTTTAGCTTAGAATAGTACGAAACGCTACTACATTTTAATAAGTGCGTTTTATTCAAAAACAATATTCAAAACTGGACTATCGATTAATAAAAGAAATGGCTTTATATTGATACTACTGATACACGCCGACACGTGTGAAGATAAGCTACAGATTTTGATAAGTATTGGGAATTTTGGATGTTAATAATTCCCTAAGTCTTTACCCTCCCTACCAAGACAATGCTACTTAAAATATTTACACTGTCCCTTTGCCAAGTTCAAAATAACTCTACCACATATTTAAGAAAGTGTTCAACATAAGTACTAGACAAACCATTAAATCTATTTATTCACAATACATTCTTTTTCAATATATCTTCAATTATAATTCCATTTATACAAATTCTGTTTAGTAAGCGGTTCCATTAAATCTCTTTTACAAACTAACAAATTTTAACATACGCATAATTATCCTAGTCATTCTCTAACTTAATTTTCGTTTATATTTAGTGAGTAAAGTAAAGTATATAAAAGTAAAGTATAAAGCAAACAGTCATAAGTAAGTGAATATAAAATTAGCAAATATAGTTATATAATCTTTAGCCAAATGCAGATCTTATTTTATTTAGTCGTTCGAGTGGCATTTTGTAGAATTTTAATATAGGTAATTCATAATAAGGTTTTTTATCATTGTTGTTTGGTAGTACTCACGACCTTAAATATCCACTCCATGATGTGCGTAAAGTTGGGCCCAACACGTTGACATTGTCGAGCTGTAGGTCAAACTTTAAAGGTTCTAATTTAAATTCCTATTCAAATGCCAAAAGTTCTGTCAATCTGCGAGTATTTAATTCAAAAGAAAATCAAGAATCAAAACAAAACACCGAAATGTAACTGCAGTACTGCGGCGATAAGACCTTAGGAGACCGCTGGCTACTACGCTGCGCTGCGATAAGACGGAATCACAAAGTTAGACCACCGCTGGTCATATGAGGTGATCCTCACTGCGTAACGTTGATGATGTCCAAATATAATTAAATCTGATCCGGTCGTCTAAACTTCTGCACAGCTGAATAATCTGGATGAGCTCTAGCATTTCAATATATTTGGCCAGTTATTATTCGGCAGGTGGCCGGTTGCGTAACTTGTTGGCTGAAGGTTATGTCTGCCTCGTGGCCTCTTCTTGGAGCGAACTGGGGTTAACCAATGAGCTGATGCGGGGGTCGACGAGACGCGGGGGTAGTCGGCTGTAGAGCAACCAAATGCCCTTATATAGGTCTGGCTTTCCTTACGCCTTGGGGTCGAATCTCTTTGCCACTTTCACACAAATCGCACACGGAAATTTATTGAAATATCCCACTCTTGTTTTTATGGGATTGGATATATATAATTGAATTAAATTACCACGTGTATGTGAAGTTTAATTGGGCAGCGTCAAAAATTGTGAGCGTTCGCCACGTGGTTTAATCCGATAATGAATTAAGCTCTGGGAAGCTGCATGCCGGTGGTCACTGCTGTAGCTTTTCTTTTCCTAACTGTACAATCGTACGATCATATTCTGTCCTGATTGGTCTAAGACAATTCTCTCACTTTTTGGGTTCCACAAAAGCTGCTATAATTTAGGGCGAGGGTGTTCTGAAAAGTTATTGCAGTGTAAAGTTAAGTTGGTCACTACAAGATTTAAATTCTTAATTCCCCCAACACCTAAAAAAATCCCTCCATATAATCCATATTGACATTTACTGTATTAACAGCACCTATAACCTGACTTTGATCGACAAATTCTTTAAATTCGCAGCAGCATACCCTATTGAAAATCGTTACTTCCTGAACTTAGTAAAATTGTTAAAACACCTCATAAGTTTATTCGGGATTTCGGGACAGATAGTTTACAACCAAGGTGCCGAATTCTCCGGCAACATATTTAAAACATTTTGCTTTTAACAATCTTTAAGCAATTCCCTCGTGGAACGCATACAATCCACCCTTATAGAAATCTACAGATAAATTCCTAACACTCGCAAAGATAAAAAATTACCATTCGAACAGTTACTGTCAGAAATAGGTATCACCTATAATAATGCGATCCATTCCGCAACAAAGCTCATCCCCTTCGAACTTTTCACTGGCACAACGCATACATTTAACAAAGATATTGAACTTAACACCGAACACGACTACCAAGATAAAAGAAAAACTGTAAAAGGAAAACTTGAAAATATCGTAAAAACAAGAATGGAAAAATTAAATGCCAGTAGAACCCGATAATATTGTTAAGGTGAACGAAAACAGGAGGATAAGATAACACCCAGGTTCTTTCTACAACAGGTCTTAAACGAACACGGCACTACAGTCACTACCAATATTAGACCCACTATTAATGCTAGGAAGGCAAAAAAATAAACACCGACTACATTCCTCTCCCGTTAAATATTACCCCAGGTGTTCTTATGGCTCGGCACAACCCCTACACATTTAAGAAATTTATAATACTGCACCTTTCGCTGAAATACAGTTAGGAAAAGCACTCAGTAGAAAATTATTAAAACACAAAACCTGTTCTTAACTTAACAAACTTCTGCGATTGCATCAATACATTAATAGATTCCGTATAATATTAAAACCAAAGCTTTCTCCACTACAAACTAAGCTACAATAGACAAAAAAGAGGTATATTTAACGGACTGTGCACCTTATTAAATACTAAAAACTGGTAATATGGATGCGTCCGAAGCCAAAGAAATAAGCCAGAAATTCAATAGCCTAAATTCAATCCAATAAGTTTTACACAATGTCAGATAACCTCTAACTACAAAACGAGTTTAACAATGAAATACTAATTCGTTTCACCACAAACACATTTA